GCTGTGCATTAAGTGGTACCACTTGTACAGTAAAAGTTAAATGACCAAAATAAAGGACAAAAGTGAACTTTTGAAAAATAAATCTCAGGGACAGCTTTCTGAAATAAAGGACTGTCCTTTATAATAAAGGACATATGGTCACTGTAGGCATACATCACTTCAATTTATTACTCTTTTCCAATATGTTACCTGGGATGTGACCTCTGCAAGTGTAATAGAATTCTTTGCAATAATCCTTGCACAGGAAAGGAAGGGCTAATTCTCTTTCCAATGCTTCTTTCACAGTTGAGTGGAACAGATTCTGAGCATTCGGTGAACAGTGAGCACATCTGATTTCCTGCAGCAGCTTCACACATTCTGTGTTGTTGGTAACAGAAAAGATCTGCAAGCCACAAACCAGAGACATATAAGCTTTCTTGTACCCTGCAAAGCACACTGCAAATTTATATAAAAAGTGATGCCAATTTAACCAAGATTGTTATTGTTATACCATTTATATGTAAAAACAATAATGTCACAATTCTGACAGTGACTTAAAAATCAAACAATGAAAATGTAATAATATATGAGATCACAAAGGTAATTAATGATCCGATCTGACTAGATTAAAATATAGGTTCTGTTTAAACATTCAGCTATATGCTATACAAGTGACTCCTCTCACCTGGCTCTTATCTGGCCCTGTGAAGTCTGATTTGAAGGCACACAACATAATAGCTTGCATATGGTTCCAAGTTGGTCTACCCAGCATTACATAGGTTGCCTCTTCCTGAGCATGGCTGTTTGATAGGCATACCTGTTACACATAGCTTCACTCACTCCCATGACAGAGCGAAAATGTTAATGTAAGAACTAGAGAGCTTTAGTATATGAAGACCAGGTTGTAGAAAGGTGCTGATACATCTCTTTCACTCTAGCATCAGTAGAAAGAAATACACTGAATAAGGAAGACGATATATTTATGTAATAAATAACACAGCTCTGGCTCCCTTCTGCTAATTCTTTGTATGGAAACAGAACACAAAATAGAAGTTATGGTGTGAATCTCTTTTTCTACTAGCATTTAGCAATGAAACAAGAAGTGGTATGACTGTTTATATATATGGGTCTAGTTGGGTTATAACTGCTTAATGTATGTTTTGTTTTCACTGAAAGAAAGGAATCTTAAATGTGTGAAAATTACATACTATCAATTCATGTTAATTGAACAAAATGCCACAAACAATAAAAGGATAACTTCCATTTATGCTGGCAATTATTGTAATACAGAAAAATAATTACACTTAATATAATACTGTAGCATACTGTATTCTACATGCCCAAATACATGCCCAGACAGTATTTGTAATTGAGTGCTAAAATTTAGCCAGTATTTTCCACCTAGATGTTGACAAAAAAACTTCTGTCACCTTTATAAAGATACTATGGACTGACAGATGCATAATATATATAGAACCAAATTACTTTCCTTCCTATTTATTTGTTTATATTAATCCAAATATATTTCTATTTAATGATAATGCAAATTTACTGCAATACTCTAATAGAATGTTCAGGATACCACCATCAATTTACTCTTACATAACTAGTCAGTTTAAAGTTCACAAGGCTGTGTTACACAATGGATAAAAATAGTCATATAAACAGATAATGAAGTTAATTTTTATACAAGACAAGTACTGATATACTTGTAAGCTTATATAAATGATATTATTATGTGTACATTTTGAGGACAGCCTCACTTTTCTTCAACCTCATGTCCTTTCTTCATTCTAATAATTGGTTATTTAAACTTTCTAAAGTATATATGAAATCAGAGCTTCTCTGAGATATTTCTTCAATCAAGAAAAATCCAAAAGCCCAGTTATCTAGCCTTTGGCTCAGTTTGGGTGCTCATTTGTCTTCCTTAGGTCTGCAGAAGCATATACTAGAGACACACAAGATATCAATCAATACATATGCCATAGAATTTTGTGTAGATGGCAGCAAACTATATTGGGTTTAAATGCAGCATCATAGTACACTACAGAAGACAGGGAGGACATGCTGCCATGAACTTGTTTATGTGCATATTAACTGCAGAGTACAAATATGGAAATGAATGACACTGATGCACACAATTAAACTAAAACACCTATGCAGCCAACATTCATCAACAGAGAAAAATAACAGTCTGGGCTGCTGACAACAATCAGGTTAATTGAAAACCAATCAGATGGTAATTCTAGGTGGTATGAAGCTTAGTACAACTAAGCTGAAGCTGCAGTAGAAAACCATCCCAAAAATACATTGGCAGTAGAAACTAGCTACTATAATAGTCATGAGTTCCTAGGCATGCGAAACAGATAATATATTGTTTGGTTTTATGGTGCCACAAAATTTGTATTTTCTGTCTTGGAAAAAAACTACACTTCAGATATGGTGTGAGCATTATGACTCCATATATATATTTTCCTCCAGCTTGGATTTTTATCCAAAATGGTAAATATCACAAATTGTTCATATTTCTACCCTTCCCACTGAGTCTATATTGTAAACTGAATTGTTAAATAATGTATTTTATTGTGAGGTCCCTTGACCCCTCATAAATGATTGAAAGGTCGTTTATAATATCAGTTTGAAAAATTAATTTACAAGTATTTCAAGGGTCAGGAGCAATAAGATCCATCAAAAGATTTAATTGATTTATATCTGTAGAATGTTGTTTAAAAGCTAACTGAGGATGAAGTTAGCAAAGATTATTTATGGATCTTGTAGTACTACCGTCTTCATATTGTTTTGAACAGTCAGCTACCCATCCCAAAATTGTCAAGTTCATTCTGACAGAACAGCTTACAGAAGAACTGCCAGAAGAACCAAAATGTTGTGACACATGGCAAGCTATCAATGTCTAATCAGAATAGATTCAGCAGAGGTAAAGGATGACATACAATATGAGTGCAGGAGTGGGTGGATATCGCCTTTATAATAACTGGATATTCCCTACTTACAAGAACCTCTAGTACTAGAGTTGAAGTTAGATCAGCACTCCAGTCATTATCAAGTAGGAAAGCTACAGGAACCGACAGAATACCCACTGAAATATGACATGCAACAGAAGAAGAATCGGTCAAGGTTCTAACTAAGCTATGCCAGCAAATCTGGAGAACAACACAGTGGCCAACAGATTGGAAGACATCAATCTACATTCCAATACCAAAAAAGGAGACTTAACAGAATGTGCAAACTATTGTACAATATCCTTAATTTCACATGGTAGCAAAATAATGCTTAAGATCTTCCAATGCAGATTAAAGCCCTACATGGAAAAAGAGATGCCAGATGTTGAAGCTGGCTTTAGAAAAGGCTGAGAAACATGAGACATTATTTCTCACGCATGCTGGATAATTGGCAAAGCCAAAAAATACCAAATTTAAGCCATTATCTGCTTCATTGATTATAGAAAGGCCTTCAGTTGTGTTGATCGTCAAGCTGTGGAGTATGCTTAGAAAAATGGGACTCTCAGAACATCTCATTGTCCTCTTAAAAAGCCTATATAGATGTCAGGAAGCCACAGTGCAGACAGAACATAGTGAATAGACTGGCTCCGGGTTGGCAAAGGAGTGCGACAAGGCTGCATACTTTCCCTATATGCTGAATATATATATCCAATTCATATTGGATTGGAAGAAATGAGCATGATTTTCTTCAACCTGCACATAACCCTTTACATCGTAAGCAACCAAGGACTGTGAGAAAGTCCACATCGGCAGACTACAAGACCAACATTTGGCCAAGTCCAGTGTTTCCATGATGTACTTAATGAAAAACTTTCTGGCAATTTATCGCTTGTAGGAACCTGTTCTGAAAAGTGGATGCAGTTTAAAGATGACATCACAAAGTCTGCAACAACTGTACTCGGACTGAAACCCCAGGTGCATCAAGACTGGTTTGATGAAAACCATGAGACCATTTCAGCAGCCCTCCAGGCCAAGAACAAGACCTAGGCAGACTGGCAGAACAATTCATCATCTGTCTCAAAGAAAGACAAGTTTAAGCACCTGCAGTCCAAAGTACTGACAGAACTGCAAGAAATGCAGGACGAGTGGTGGCAGAGAAAGGCTGAGCAGGTGGAATGCTATGCACTAGACCCAAATGCCTTACAGGCATTCCAAGACATCTTGGAAGACATTTGATCCACAGAGGGGATGCCTGATGATTTCTGCAATGCTCTCATTGTGGCTCTGTACAAAAATAAGGGAAGCAAATCAGACTGCAGAACCTACAGGGGTAATCTCACTGCTGTCTACTGCAGGCAAGATCGTTGCCTGCATTCTCCTGAACAAACTTGTCACTGTCTTGGAAAGAAACTTCCCAGAGGCACAGTGTGGCTTTTGGACAGAATGGATTACAGTAGACATGATATTTGCTGTGAGGCAAGTCCAGGAAAAGTGCATAGAGCAGAACAAGCCTCTTTACTCTGTCTTCAATGGCCTGACAAGGGCATTTGACACTGTAAACAAGGAGGCTCTCTGGCTCACCCTGAGACGTTATGGATGCCTGAGAAAATTCATGAAGTTGATTCAGGTACTCCATGATGGAATGACAGGACAGGTTCTTTACAACAGTGATACATCAGCTGCATTTGCCACTTCCAATGGGGTAAAACAAGGTTGTATACTAGCCCCAATCCTATTCAATCTGTTCTTCGCTTGCATGTTATCACATGCTGTCCAGGGTCTGAAGGAGGGAGTGTACATCAGGTACTGACTGGACGGCTCTTTTTAACCTTCACCACTTGAACGCATGGATGAAATGCCTCCATACAGTCATCCAAGAAACCCTCTTTGCAGATTACTGTGTGCTCCTGGCGCGCAAAGACAATAATCTATAGTTGATGCTGAACAAATTCTCAGATGCTGCTCTGCTCTTTGGCCTATCAGACTGAAGTACTTTACCAGCACATGCCAAATACCAAACCTGTAGAAACATTCTTAAGGATCCATCCCACCCGGGACATTCTTTTTTTGAACTATTACCATCTGGC